TCTGCCGAGGCCCGAAGGCTCTTCCCATGAAGTCAAGAACAAAGAAAATGTATTTTGAGACATTTTAATTCATCCAACATATTTACACTTTATCTCTGATTAGATATTGAAAAAGTCAGTCTTTTAGACAACTTCCAGAATCCCATAGACAACACAATCACTGCTGCCCATGCTGGCTGGAGGATTCCAAGAGTTGTAGTCTTCAAAAGTAACTTTTCCAAGCTCCAATTACAGAAAGGTTTCAATGACTGTCTGCTGTGATGTTAGAAGTTGAATTTTTAAAAGTAACTTTTCAAAATTCTGGCTACTTACTGTATATACTCATGTATACTTCTAGACATTTTAGCCAAAAATTGACCCCAAAAAACTAGATTGACTTATCTATGGGTCAATGTAAGCACTGTACTTTAACTCTTATTTTAAAAAAGGGAACCATCCCCTGGTGAAAGGTAAGAGCATAATCTGTCCTGGAAGCACTGACCCTGATCTATTCTCTTATCCATGCATCCTTTAGGGTGAGCACAGTTTTGCTTGCTGTAATTTTGTAAGTTCTTTGGCACTGTTTTCCTTTGCTTCACCTTTTACATCTTTTGTTACATGCCACAAAGTTTTACCCTCAGCTTATCGATGGGTCATATCAAAATCAATTATATATGAGGTCGACTTATAGTTGACTATATACAGTACTTTCTAGGTGTACAGAATACTCAGACAACAACAAAAAGGGAAGAACAAGAGACCTTTATAAAAAAAAACCTGAGAAATTAAAGCCAAGTTCAAACCAAGGGCAGGGATGCTCTATGGAGAGAAAAATAACATAATATAGGAACAAGAAGAAATAAAACGATGCTGGAGGCAATACACAGAAGAGTTATACAAAAGAGATGAGGGAATGAATGATATTTGGAATATCATATTTGGATATTTGGAGCCATATGAAGACAAACCCCAAATTCTAAGAAGTGCGGTGGAATCTGCAATAAAGGAAATGGGAAAAAATAAATAAATCAACAGGAACAGATGATATCCCAATTGAACTGCTATAGTGCCTACAGACAGATGCAACTTTAGTGCTAACTAAAATATGTCAACCAATATGGAACACAAAGTGAGGTCAACAGACTGAAAACGCTCAATATGCATACCAATCCACAAGAAAGGAGATACAAAAGAATGCAGCAACTATAGGGCAATAGCAATCATCTCACATGCCAGGAAAATAATGCTCAAAATTCTGCAGCATAGACTCCAACCATACATGGAGAGAGAAATTCCAGAGGTGCAAGAAGGATTCAGAAAAGGAAGGGGCACTAAGGACCACATTGCAAACATACGATGGCTAATGGAGTGCACCAAAGAATTCCAAAAAAGAACCAGCATGTGTTTCATAGACTACAGAAAAGCATTTGATTGTATAGATCATGAAAAATTATGGAATGCACTCAAAAATATTGGGGTGCCACTACATCTGATAGTCCTGATGAGAACTCTGTACCAAGG